ACAAAAGTATCAAGTCCCGTGCGTTCGCGCCCTTCGTTCAGCCGCAATTGCGTCAACGAAGGAAAACCACGTAGCGTCCTAATACCGAGAAGTACGACGACAGTAGCGATGACAAAAATAACCTTCAGGAAAAACGGGTACGCCATCACCAGTCACAGATTGACCAGTTACATTCTTGATTGGCTAACTGGTTAGTTGCTGATTAAATGGTCACGTTTAGTTGGCACGAGGTGCATTGCCCCAGCTGTTCACTTCATCACACATCCCGCAGCTAGATTTGCACACATTTGGTGACCTTCATTCTATTGGCTATTGCTGCTCATAGATGGAGTATGAAACCGATAGATTAGACAAAAGAGCCTAAAGCATTCAGATTTTTAATACTAACAGATGCGAGCCAAGGGATATATATATATTATGCTGTTAGTCGAACCAAGTCTGCTGGTGGGCGTGTTTTTCGGCGCAGGGTCTATGGCCTAGATGTTGGTTGGTAGAATTGGTAAACCACTGCTAATCTGATTACTGGAGCTAAGCTAAGAACTTGCAGTACGCACGTTATATCGACCATATCGGATTAGCAGTGTCTTCTGTGGCTGGGTCGGGCTCCAAAGGCAGGCTAGACATCAAATCAATTTGTCCCCTTCGTCTCATTTTTTTCGTTTCCATCACAATTGCTGGCTGCCCCTGTGCGCCTAGAGAAAGTATGATGCATCACTGGTCACGACAGAGTAGAATCTTGATGGCTGCCGTCTATCATAGCCAAAGACCCATAGAAAGCGCATGTAATGGCCAGCCTTGGCCTAAGCACGTGTTTACGTTGCTATGCAGATCTAGGCCAGGGGTATCGGGTTCGGTAGATAGCGCATTTTGCTTTTGATGGATCCTAGGGGTAGGAAACTTTACTTTTTCATTACGATTTTTAGACGGGTGATAAAAAATTCATCAACGAAACGAAGGAGAGAACGAAACTTAGCTGGTTAACATTTACCTATAGTTTTGGCTTGGAATCGGTGATATATTATATAAATTAAAGGTATGCAAAATCATATTCTTCGTTGTATAATCACACCACTAACAGCTCAACTAGACTGAAGTACGATTGGATGCTGAATCTATCGCTTTTTCTAGAAGGTGTCGGGGCAAGTGCAGAAAAGGCAAGGGCAATCCAAACACATCTTTCGCGCAGGTTAGCATTGTATTAGCGATGATTTTAGCATAAATCACTGATTTACGCACTAGGTTACGTGCAAGAAAGATCTTGCAGTTTCGGCAATTACAATACGTGTGTTATGTTAGAAATTTGTAACGCTAATGGATGTCAGCAAGGGACTTCCATATTTTCTAGAGAACGACTAGAGACGCAAGTATACGCCAGAGTCTGTTCCCCTGTGTTCATCTCTACAATTCTTTCTCTCCCGATATATCGTCGTCGCCCCCCGCTTAAGTTATATCGTGCTTACATCTCGACGGCAAAGAGTTACAAACCAAGGAAGCATATGTCAAACTCACGATAGATGATAGTTGCCATGTTTATCGTACACGCAGGTGTATTACTTTGACAACGCACGTAATACTTGTTTTCAAAACCGAATGCATTCAAGATTAAAAAAGTTTAGTACTTTTTTTAATTCTATTATATTATAAGTATTTTTATACGTGTACGGGTAACAATATTTCAATCTTATATTTCATAATTCATTTATTTATTCATATATCATCATTCATTCATCACATATTACTTCACAGGTCATGGGTATAAGCGGCTCCACATGCGAGTCTATTGCTGTAGATCAATGAACAACAGTCCAATTTCATATGAGGCTTAAATATTCTGGTGGCAACAGACATCCTTTAACAAAATAGATGAGTTCATCAGATTCTCTACTTTTTACACTTTTGTAGCAAACTTAAGTTTATCTGCACGATTTTACATGCGCAACGGATATTCAACATTAAGTCCTATACTTTTTTGAGAATATTTCTATAGTGCCTTTGTTTTTTCTTTGCTTGGTACTCTCGCAGAAGCAATAATTATGGCAGTATCTGTTTAATTGTAAACCTAATATCATCTAGAACAAACAGGGCCGTTTGCCCCCTGTTGTTTACAGATACTTTCTGGAATCTGTTATGGATCTGGTACCTTGTGATGACGTTATTTTTTTCCACCTTGTATCTTATCTGTCTGGCTCGTCTCACCATTATACGGTATTATCTTATATTTCATTTACCACTACAAAAGGTCCGGATTTCAAACTAAGACGACGCTAGTCTTGAGCCATTACAGCATAATCAACTTTTCATAATTGTCTATGATGCGCCTGTGTATATATAGGACAAAATCTATGCACGCGGAATCAGTCGAAATTCGGGAAAAAAAGGGAAAAGCATGACTCTTATTCATTCAACCAAGTCAACATGACGGAAGTTCCAATTATTTAAATACAAAAAGAGGTCGATCCCTAAGCAACGAGCTAGGCATCCGAATAGTTATGCAGGCCCACTACAGCCAGTAATGATGGCCGATCATCAGCTGGTAGAGAAAGTCACATTGTTTAATGTTCTCTACTACTGCGTCTGACTCCGTCTCAGCCATAGTTACTCATAGCTGCTAGCGTGCCAGCAGTGAACGTGCTCAACGTCGCACTTATTACCGTCTATGCCATTCCCAAGCCCAGAAAAAAAGACAACAGAATAAAAAGAGATGACCAGAAAAAGAAGTAAGCCAAATCAGCGAAAGAAATGTCATCAGCCATAGAGAAATCCCAAAACATCAAACGATAACATACAACGAGAACATACATCAACTACTAAAAAATTACTAGTTCTGTACAAATCTATCGGGCTAATATCAAAACAACTATTGATATAAACAACGGTAACCACTGTATTCGAAGATAACGAAATACCCTGGTGAATCTCAGCCGCTGAAGACAACAAGGTATGATTGAGAAAGCTGTCGGTACTTCGATGAGCGTCTGCACGCATTTGTTTTATAAACAGTTGCGAATGGATTATATTATAAATGGAAGCTGCTGTAATTACGGCATGCTATATAAGGCAACAGTAATGAACGGAACTGAACGAGAGGGTGTACTGCACGCCTTTTTTACATTCCATTTCTTAAAAACGTTCAAAATGCCGCTTATACTAAATACCAGAACGCGAAGTAAAGAACGACAATATCGGTTATCATGTTGCTACAACCAACTATATATATAATAACAAATAAAAGGTCATTAGTGCACGTCCGTGCGCATTACGCGTTTGCATGCACTTTTGTTTGAAAATATTTAACAATCGGGTGCACAATGATGGTGATAAATGAAGATACATAGAAGATCTTTGTACCCTCAGGTGTTTCGAATTTTACTGGCGTTAGATATCGCTTGACAACGATGGCTTCTAAAACATGCTCCGACGTATTGACGGCTTCAAATCTAAATCATCTGATGTGTATCTGAGTTGATTAGGTAAACGCTTCCTTCCTAGGGACGAAGGAACTCTTACCCACATAAATATTTACTTTTCTTGCCGAAAATAAGCCATGAGACTTAATTCGTGAGAAACTTCTCATCACGAACTCGTTGGTGACTACAGCTTAGATTAATACATCAGAATACACTAAAACTATTATGCACTTTTTACCCTTCAGACTTTACAAATGTCAGTTGATTCTGCAGTTCCTACAGAAAAGTGGGTGTCTGTCCCTGCTAACACAGGATACCAATAACTAACTTTAGCTAGTTAAGACTGAGGGGAGGAAGCTCTCACTGAATCACACCACATATACATTCCGTATTATTATTGGAAATGTATCTTCATTTCCGTTGTCCGAACTTAAATGTAGTTGCAGTTACAGCTTTGGAGGACAAGTGGCAATTGGCTCGTACCTCTGTTAGACACAAACGCTAATGATATGATTTTTCGCACTTAAGGACAAGGCAGCAGGGTTGGTCTCCCAAAACAATAACGTAGGCAGAGCGTCAACCAGGACTGAAAATGACCAAATTAAGTGAGAAAATATATTTTCGAGTACGACCAATGTTAAACTCTACGAGACAGGACACAGGCACGTGCGTCCCAGTATCTTTGAGCAGCGGATTTCTATGCCGAAACTTGCCTGCGTAGTTACAGAGCTTAGTAAATAAGATAGCCAACTGTTGTCAGCTGACTAGAACCAAGTTTTCTAACGGAAGAGCAAATACGACTTGTACGATCTGCGGTACCTTAAATGCCTGTCATGTTTGAAATGTAAATTCTGTCACCAAAATACATAACATAATAATATAATTCTGCAGTAAGTACCGGAATAATACATTCTTAATTATGTACAACGTTCACCTTTGCCACGCATATACAGGGCGTTAAAATTAATGCAGGGGCAAACTGCATTGTTTACGCTGATATAAATATTCAATAACAACTATTATTAGAGGTTCGATGAAATTATCTTCGCACACATCTCAAAGGCTACTTACCGACAAACAATATATTTATACATTAGAGCTATTTTCGGTACTATCGACGCCTACAGATAATACTTACATCAGCGGACCGTTTTTCACTAGTCTCTTCGTTGGCTTGCCCCAGCTGTTGCCCCAGTTTTAGCCAAGACTAATTCACAATATAATTTCTTCCATCACTTTAACAGCCCCATTTTGCTTCCATTATTGTCATCAATTGTTGTGCGGTTATTCCGATTATTATAGGCCTTTGTCAAAGCGGACGTGAGATTTTCACCTCTCCGCGATTTGACAAATGATCAGACGAATTAACGAGCAAGTAACCGCCTATAATCTTGTGCCCTCCTATTTATTCTGTGTATTGGCCTTTGAATAAATAAACCGGACAACTGGTCAACAATAAAAAAAGTTCGTTTTCACTACTATTGTTGTTGTTTGTTTATTGGCTATAAATTAGCTTCCTATTTTGTCGTTTAGCTGATAGACGCGTGCACACGGGTCTAGCAACTGCTGTTGCCTTAATTTTATACCACTCACCTCACGTCATAACGAGGACAACCGTGAGTGAGAACGGATGCGCCGAAACTTTCCGCCCAGCTGCAGCTACAGTTACTATTTGGGCACTGCTGCTGCTGCTCTTGCACCGTATCAACGCTGAACTAAGGGCAACTAATAATGTTGAAGATACCAGGAACTCACGTCGCAAGACGTTGGTTAATACATGATACACGCTGCTGCTTCGGCTGGCAGGTACAGGGCGAAGGCCTGACCAACGAACTCCAACGTATACGACAACCACTTGGATTCTAGCACTCGAAGGGTACGCGTGGAGTGACAGGACACGTTAGCGACTATGAGATGTTGAAGTAATAGTCAGACAGGAATCGTGGTAACGACCAATTATATTTCTCCGATGAGAAGTCGACGTTGAAGCGCATGCTATGCTGGATGGTTATTTGGAATTTGTTGGAATAACGGGTGGAACAATCGATATGGTAACGATCTATGCTATGGACAAGAATCGTTGCGAGGTTGGCAATCAATCTGCTTGTCAACCGATTGTCCGGATGTATTGCTGCTTTGTGCGGTGGACAAGACTTTTTGTATCGGATCGTCGCGCGAGGTAGCAGTGGCAGCAGCAGCGTCCTTTCATTGATTGATTCGTTTCTGATGCAAATGACAATGATCCCTGCTCACTTCCGCGATGAGATGACAGCCACGCATTAAGCCACTATACACTGTGCTTCTCTATTCCTTAGCCGTTGTACCCATCATCCTCTCTGGCCTACAATAGCACACATTGCATGCATTGTGGGCCTGAGCAAGGGATCCAGTAAGTGGTTGGTCGCACCGCTAACTAACCGCCCGCCACTTTTCGGGGCAATTATTATCTCTAGTCACAGCACAACCACGAAACTGCGTTTCTATGGTGAACAGCAATCCCTCGCTCCGGCAGGGGAAACGTGTCTTCCCCCTCTTCTACTCGTTTCTCCTTTGTTGTCCTGCACACGGCCAAAGTGATATCACGCGGGTTATTTTTGTTCAATCTGAGCGAGACCCACGACTTTCACTTTCTTTTGCCGTCTCAATAATTTCCTTCTCTCGCCAGCGGCAATCGATGAGGGAAGCAGCGCCGAAATGCCATGACCTGTTGGCCGATCAGCCGACTGTAGTGATAACCCCGCAGAAGCACATGCAAATGTACGGTAAACACTGAAACGGCGAGCACCACAATGGGACACGGTTGACCGTTGAAGGGACACCGATTAGTCGATGGGGGGAGGGAGATGTGACAGAAAGACAGACAGACAGACAGACAGCGCGGCACTGCTGCGTGGGCGAGGAGGATATTGGGGAGCAGAATGGTCTGGAGGCAAGCGTGACGTGGGTGAGAACGATCCGTGCGTTCCGCTCACAAAAACTGGTCAATATGGCTGCGACAGTGCCTGAACGTAAATATGTCTCAATAGTATAGACGTGTCACTACTGTGGCAGTGAGCGCATCTTGTGCTCCGCTTTACGGAATGGTTGTCGCTATTATGCTGTGGAGTTGTCGGTTTTCTTCTACCAAAAATGTTCTCTTAATCCGGCTTTTTCTTACTGGGGACGAACGCGAGTTGTTTGTATGACGCTTTGTTTCAGCCGGCACTCTGCTCACCAGACGTGATTTGTTCGCACCGATTGACCGCCACCAGCGGCTGCACGACGTTGTCTCACTGAAACTCACTGGTTTTGTTGTATTCGCGCTGACTATTACAGTTTATTTGCTAATTCTTTATAGGAGTGGTGTCTATATCTGCTGTTGCAGTTGTTATCCTGGTTACTATTTGCTACCCACCTGCGCTGTGTTGTTATCATCGTGGCTGCAGCTGCCTATGGTAGTGCCTCTTCTACGTTACCACACTGAACAGTCGGCCTGTCCTGCTGTCCCTTGCTGGTTCCAGCAGCTTTCGCTACCGCACGTGCGTGTTCGTGGCGTGTTCATTGAGGTTCGCGATGCGCAGAGTTAGCCGATAGTTGCTGCCGCTGCTGATTCTCTTACTTATTGTTGTAGCACAAAAAGAGGAAATCTAGCGGTCGAACGGGAAAGCGAGTTTTAGCGAACACGACACAAATAGGTTGGCTTAGTTAATGAGGAAAGAAACGAGGCTGCTATGAGTCATGGGTTTGCACTTATTGCCAACTAGTGCTGCAGATTCTACGATCTGTTAAATGTCGTTGCTGCTGCCCCTCTTACCTGATTCGCCCTAGCCACCCGTGGCTGCGGTAACAGTGCAATAAAAGTCGGCGATAGCGGCGGCCAAGGCGATACTAATAGAATACGACTGAGTGCGACGCATCGCCTGCTAACAGACGGCGACTACAATAAAAGTATGAAATGCTAGGCTGAGCCCTGACTACCTTCAGCTGACTACGACTACTTCACTCTAGCCGATAGTAGTAGTCAGCCAGTCTGTCTGTCTGACTCTGGTGACAATGATTGCGAGCTTCTTGGAAGGGTAGCGCGCACACGAACTGGTCCCTGTTTGTTGCTCTCGGCTTGTGGGCCTGTTGTTTAAATTGATTTGCCGATGGCTATCCTGGTCAATGCTGAACGTTTCAATACTGCACACTGCGAACTCGGGCCCTTTCATTCGTATGAGGGCAGTATACACACTTCAATGAAATGCTTCGGTTTCGTTCTTTTTTCTTATTTGTAGACAGCAAACAGCAGAACTGGTAGTAATAGTAAAATACAGATCAGTCTGAGAGCACATTACGTTGGATTACGGCACGAAGAAATACTGTGCCAGCAAAAGTTAATATGCCATTCGTTTTTTCCACCGAAGGGATAAGTGAAACGTGTTCCATCCACGATCGGTAGGTAGATACCGAATAAACACCGAAGTAGTCTATAGCTATCTGCGGCTGACGATGCCAGTTGGGCTTGTAGATAGGTAGCCCGCGACCTTAATCGCAGAACATTAACACTTGTTGTGCACTGTTATCATTTCAGCTATCTGAAAAACGTAAAGCTGGATACCAGCAGCATCGAGTTAGGAGAATCGTTTGCCTTTTACCAGGACCAGTTAACTACAGGGAAAGTGGTCAAGAGGAGCGAGCTGTTCGCGTGGCCCTATCTACTCCCGGATGGGGTTGCAGGCAGTATTGCGACGACAACAAGCAAACAAACCAAACAGATACATCTACCCTCCCATGAACTGATCCCGCCTTACGACGATCTACCACACATTACAGCTGCTGCTTGTGACGCTGCTGTAGCTCTAAATCGTCATCGTCAATCGAAAAGACATCGTGCGACAGGAAACCACAGAGCGGACAACGACGACGACACCGATAAACGCTGGCAACCACAATGATGATGCAGCGGCCACTGCAGGTGCTGCCGTGTTCTTTCTCTATGGCGACTATCCGCCCACCCGCCCACAATCACTTGGTCGCCTTGCTTAGTCAATCGCTCGGCTAACCGACAAAGCCTGCTAGCCAGCACAAGACAGCGCACGGAACCGCCTGCTGGGGCAGAAGCGACAGCAGGAGCAGCAGGACCTTCACAACAACAACAGCAGCGGAACCCTCTCTCTCTCTTCTTCTTGTGAACGAACCAACAACGGGGGCTGCTCCCACAGCACAGACGACTCTCGTAAAGCAGCAACAGCAGCGGCAGTGGCTACTGCGGTCGTACAGCCAACAACCTTTTCCAATCATCAGCACTGCTGACGCCGCAGCGACCGCCGCTTCCATCACTGTCATCCTTGCCTTGGCGCTGATGATGCTGTTTCCGATGCTGAGGCCGCTCTGTTTATAGTCGAGCTTCGAGCTGGGTCCACCAGGGCGGCGCCACTGAGCCGCGCGAAAACATAGTAGGGTGACGGTAATGGGCATCGGGCAGTGGGTAACGAGAAACTTGGGTGCGCTTAACTTGGCTTAGCGCAACTGATCCTAGAAAGGGTGAACGCGGAGCGCGAAGAGTCTGTGAAAACTGAAGCACGCAGGATTAAGGTGAGCAAGCAACGGTAAATGGTAGGTAGAACTCAACAGAACCGATTGGGTCGAACCATCGCTATTGCTGAAGTGGCATAATGGTCTATGTTCAACAGTAAAACTTATTTTCCACTTTCCGAGCTGTTCCATGCTGAGATACGATATGTAATGAATGTATTATGAACGAAGTTCGCCCACGGCAAAGAATGACGAATTAATTGTATGGAAGAATACAAATGTTAGCGAAAAACGCAAGAAAACGAACTGAGGATAAGCCATGGGGATACCGAGGATAATCAGCTTCCTTATAGGATGTCTTCGCGGAACTGGTATCGACAGACGAATGAGTGGTCGTTGATCGATGCCCAGGCTCCTTGCATTAGTACATAGAATATGAAGTTATTAAAAATCCAATTGAAGGAAGAAAAGCGTGCAATATCAGACTTAGCAGTGAATGCACGATGGGATCATTGTTTTAAATCGCAGAATTCACGAGCATGAGCTTCCGGCTTCTCTCTCGACTTGAGGCACAATAAAATACATTTAATAACGGCTCAGTTAGATTAAAGTCGTGAAATATAATCGCAATTTCTACTGTAAAATACGCAGAATTGGTCCCACGAAGCCATGAGTATTGTTGTCGGAAGCTTTCATCCCTGATAGCCAAACGTTTCACCCTATTTCTAGCGCAGGCTAGTTGCCATTAACACCGATGCAGCAAACCAAATGTTATGATGCATTATTATGCATCTTCTAAGTATCTTAATAAGCGTACTGAAGGTGTGGCCTGTCCTCAGGTATTCAAATCGCAAGACTGTGGCAAAAAAACAGCCCTTCAACGCTCAAAGACATAGCCCTCGTTCATTTCCGCTGCTTGCTTCATATTAGGCTTGAGGGCAGAGACATGCCGAACATTTTGGGATAGGATTTTTACAGGCGTTTTATGGAAGGACAACACATTCAAATTTTTTTAGCATATCTTAATTTGTTCCTTTCAGGAACCGTTATCCCATACACTGTGTGACTACGCTTGTTATTACATAGAGTATCCGATGACGACAGCGCAATTAACACTGGTAAACTAAAGTAAAAACGCGTTAGTTGATTATCGCATATTTTTAAATATCGTGGTTAGTGAAGACCTTGGATCAGTTGATCAACTTGTGCGTTAGCAAGTAACATATACAAGAACGACCAAATGAAACAATTGAATTTAAAAAGATGAGAAAAATGTCACGCAAGAAAATATGATGACAACATCTACGGTTAACGATGTAACGAAGGCACAGCTTGTGATTTTCTCACGCCGACAGCAGTAACGGTGTGAAGCGTGGCGTCTTGTATCAATATATTTGATAGCGTTGCTATATCGTATCGTTAAACCCATGGTGGGGACTAATCTTGAACCTTGGTCATGGTCTCATTAAAAAGATTGAATAGAAGAGAATGTGCGTTGATTTAAAGAGGGTAGTGTTTGACATCGCTTAGAAACAGTAGTAGTTACCAGTTAATAGGACACATTTTAATCTAAAATGCAAAAGTCTTGAAAATTGCGCAAATATTCAATAGTCAGTATTGAATTCATACTACAGTATTAGTAATCGGAATTTGCTTTTGAAGAGGAACAGTTTAGGTTCTTTACTGGGTATGTTACACACGCAGGTCAAATGCAAGAATATTCATCTGCACTGATATCGTACATATATAGGTCGACATTTTGCCATAATCGATAAATCTTTAACGATGTTAGCTGGGCAAAAAGCTATCGTTTATTGGCATGGATTTATTACGGACAAGAACTTGAGAAGGTTTTTCGACCTCGAATAACCCATATATGTACATAAAATTACGTTCCTTCGTTATGCCATTTTCTGTTCCGGCAGCACTATGCAGGCAACCTGTGCCGAAATTTGATTTGTCCTTAACAACACGCACGTATCACCAACCATAGTTCAGGAACTTTCATATGACAAGTTTCCACTTCAGATTAAGATTTCATCAATGGCGTCATTACATCAGGTTTTTGGATTAGCCCGCCACGTTCAACAGCGCTCACATCTTCAGAAACTTTAGAAAGGAGTTCACGGGAAGGTAAATTTAAGGTGATAGGGTCAAGGATCTTGTATATCATTGATGATCCATGTATAAACTAATAAATTAGACATTGTTTACTAATACATTTTCTTTCTCGTACTTCATATGAAGCACGACGTTATTATTATTTTTATACACAGTCAACACAATAATAATAGTACTAGTCCTATTGTCTTGTAGATAAAAAAAAAAACACGGCTCCGAATTTTCGCTTATTGCTTTTTTGATTTTATTAAATTGTCTTTCATTTGTAACACGTAGCCAAAATAATATTAAGTGACGTTCTAAATACAGATTATTGAAGCTAATAGGATAGGTTAAATCGTCAAACTTCGATGATACAAAAAAATCTCTTGCTTTTTAATTCGCTCATTTTTGCCCTTGTCATTTATATAAAGAAATTCACATAATTTCTTTATATAAAAAAAAAAAGAAAGAAAGAAAGAAGGAACGATCGTTTGTAAATTATGAAGTTTTTTCGTGTAAGGAAAAATCCGCATGCCAACGATTGTTTGTTTCAATCGTAAAGTTCAATCGTAAATTGTTGTTCACAGTTAAATCAAACAACTTATACCTGCGAATTGAGATTTATATCATATATTACTTTAGATATATTTTGTTCCGATTCCTTGTGATTCCTTTTCATTCATGTAATTGTACCTTAAAATGATTTCTAGTGACCGCTCGTTATTATGTATGAAGTTTAACATTAGTATTAAAAAAACTGAATTTTTATTTCATTTAGATTATCATTATTATCCGATAAGTATTTCATCACGCACACTTAGCTAAATATTTGCTACCTTCACATCTATAACATTGATTCAGGACAGTAAAGCTGTATATGACGATCTCCCTCTCTCCCTCTCTCTTATATATTATATATATATTATATATATATATATAATAATATATATATAATATATATGAAATGTAGGCGCATAATCAAAGTATAGGGCGAAGCTATTAGATTAATTTTAGCTATATCCTTCCCAGAGTTACATTTCAAACAAATTTACAAAATGGGCGTAAATTGACGAGTGAAGTCACGTTTGGATCATTGCTTACGTTGGATCATTGCTGGTATACAGTATTTTTGTGTAGAAGCACGCTAATGAAGTGAATCACAGAACTTCACATTGTCGATTGATCAGCTTGTTCGGAGTCCCGGCACGTATATTTTCTAGCAGTATTATTAAAAGTCTATAAGGTCACCATAAAAAGCAGCAATGAGTAACATGCGTCTGTCTTAGGGCCATAGCTATTACAATAACAATATTCAACACATGTAGCTGTAAATTCTATATTTTTTTTTATTAAGTTCCTTTCCACGTTTATTTTTATACTTTACATACATGCACGGCTGCTTGGGTCGATCTAGAGGCCTCGGACTGCAAAATCACTGAATTACCGTAAACAGCATCCCCCGGTACATATACAGGTGACTGTGATACTTGATAATCCATTTTGATACCACACTATATATACTGTTAAAACCACTTAATAGTCAGGGGCTTAATAAAAAAGAGCTTTGTTAACAACAATGTCGTATAACTGCTAGCAGATTCGTTAACAATTTTGTTGCAGCCATGGCGAGCAGCTAAATAGGCCGAGCGGCGAGGTGACAAATTTAACAGTATGGTTGTTCGCAATTACACATGTGTTGTCCTACAGTAACATCAAGTAAAGGACAATGGTATTTCCTAAAGTTGAACACATTCATGAACCTGTTTTTCTAAAATGATTCATTTTAGTTTGATGTTTCGTTCTTCATTTAATTCTTTTTATAATTGCAGACACTATATATATATATATATATATATATATATATAGATCATTTTGTCACTTCTTCGGTTTTAGCCACAATGCTTTTACCTAACTATAGTACACAACCATTAATCATCTTAAATATAACACTGCTATTTGATTTTGTGGATTAGTTCCTTGAGGCAAACTCAACCGAGGGTGATCGATGCTCGTTGAGCATCTCTTGATAAGCTCGACGCTCATTCGTGTCTTTTGGGCACCAGTCTTTGTCAGCTTGGAAAGCAACGCGAAAGTCCTGATGCAGAAAATTTCAGATACGAGACGGATTTAAAAAAAAAAATACCAATTTTCGGGTATCTAATTGAATTAGGTTTGTTGACAAATCGTGTTGAACCATTAGAATATTTTGCGCTTCCCTTCGATTAATTTTTTCGCCCACACTTATGATTTATTTGATGTCATGGTATCAGATACCATCCAGCGAGGCTCATTGTACGGCTAATCTTTTTTCGTCTAACATGATATTATGCAAATGTTTTCTATTTATTTAATTTTATTATTTATTATAATAATATTATTATAAA